AAAAAGAAAGGAAAAAAAAAGAAAAAAAGTTTGTTTTAACAGGTTGTCTTTTAACAATTATTCAAGATATATTTTATAAATAATTTTTCTTGAAGAAAATTGTCACAAGCAAACATTCCCCATATTCTAATACTGCCCACTAGGAAATAATTTTTATAGTAATACATACATACATACACACACCATTACAAAAACAAACCAAAAATACTGAAGTTCTGCTTTTGTAAAGTCCTTACTCAACATTTATGCCTTCATTCCTCATCTCTAATTCCCTACACACACACACACAGATGCTTCAAGAAAGAACACTTAGAAAAACAGTATTCCAACTACAGGCCCACTTCTCTCATCCACTGACCTCTTCTGAAAATACAAAAAAAAAATTTTAAGCTATCGGTAACATGTCCAAACACAAGCTGATAAGTTTGAGCTAGAATTTACATACATACAGTTGCTACACACCCTCCTATTTCTGCAAGACTGTGGAAGGAGGCTGGGAAATAACTAACTGCAATCTGCATCAGGAGGCCTAACACAGGTGGTGGGTTATTTTCAGGCAACAGCACCTTCACAAACATGTTTTGGAATAAAGTCCAAGAAATTCCTAACAAGGAAAGATAAGCTGGCACACAAATTTAACGCAATCCAGCTAAAAATCATCTGCAACACATGCTACTACATTTCACCATAAAAGTGACAGGCTACTATAAAGGATTTGAAGCTTCATCAATACAACATACTGTCCATAAGGCCAGAGATAGCAGTTGCCATGGTTACTATCACCCACTTTTATCAGGAAATTATTGTCATTACCCCAAAGTTTTGGGTACTCATTTAAAATTAAAAAAAAAAAAAAACAATTTAGGGTTCTGACTGTTAATTGAGTGAAAGAATCAACTACAGTTTGATTTGCAAGTATGTCGCTTTGGAGATACACATGGTTAACAATACTTGGATCTGCAGCAGAAAAAAAATCAATTCCTTTCTGCTGCTCCTTCTCCTCAAGTACTGACAGTTTGTATTCTCAATGCAGCCAAAACAATAAAACAAAACCCATCTTTTTGGCTTCTGTGTTTAAGTTATTTTTTCCCCCTAGGCCCACAAACAGAGTCAAAATAAAGCCTAGATCATCAACCTGTTAGGCCTCATCCCCTTCCTATCCCTTCCATACTGGTTCACATTCTTGACAACTTAAAAAAGCAGAAAACATTTCTGTAACTGATTCCAAAATATAGAAAATAATAGTTGCCTTCAACTGAGATATTTTCACCAAATGCTTTTTTATTCAACTTTTTTTTTTAAGGCAGGGAGGGGGGAAGACTTGCAGGGTACTAGAAGGGACAAGGGAAGGAGTATTCAAACTGCCACACAAGTCTAGTGTAAGAAAGTTGCTTTAGAAAGGTCCAAAGGATGACTGAACCTCACATACAATTTCTAAAAGGGAAGAGTTCACTGTAATTTTAAGACTGAATTGATGGACAAGTAATAGAAAAGTTATTCCTAAAAGTCTATTTCAACATTTTCACAAAAGATAACTATTCAAAAATTTAACACATATATAAGAATTACATGAAAGCCTACAAAATAGTAGGGCCACATATACACACAAAGTACAAAATATATGCTATTTAAGAAATAATTATCTAAAATAAATTTAGTGCAGTGTTAACATATTATTTCTTTTTTAAAAAATCCCAAAGCAGCAAAAACATATACCTGGTAAAATTAATGTGACCAAAATGTATTACTATGCTCCTAAAGAATTCTTAGGCTTACAAAAAAGCCCATGTACAAAAGCTCCTGAGAAGTCAACATAAATCATTAATATTTCCCAGCACAAAATAATATGAAAATTCAAACATGCTTCAAGAAATCAGTTCCAGATATAGATATAAAAGAAATCTGTCAAAGGTCAGAGACCTAAAACTTTAATTCCTTCCTTTCTCTCTTTGAATAGTAACTAAATACAAAAGCCTTCAGCAATAAAATATTAAGGATACAAAATTTAAAAGTACATTAATATAATCTTAACTTCAGTATGTCTTCACAGAAAGCTTTAATATTCACTGTCTGTGGGATGAAAAAGTTAATAACACCCTGAGAGAGGTTTCATTTTTATCTAAACAGTTAAATGTTTCTTTCACCCTTCATAGAAGCAAGTTTCTATATTTACTTTCTAACGGGGGCAATTTCAAAACAACAGTCACTTCTAAAATTTAAGATATTATACCTTTTGATAGGCTCATAAACACAGGGTCCCTAATTATCTATATTTTACTTTAAAATGTTTTCTATTCCAAATCTGTGAGCAGAGTTTACAAGAATGCTGAAACTTAAGGCTTAAACTTTTGGGTTATTTTTACACAAAAATATTTCAGTGCCCTCCTCTACATTTGAGTAGTCATTTCCTCGTGCATCCTTCTAAAACAGAAAAACAAAAATGATATATCCACATATATCTAATACTAACACATACAGATATACATCTTTTTCACTGTGAAACAAGCTTGAAAGCTTTAGTCAGTGAGACTCTTTCGGAAAGTTAGCAGAGTCAGTCAAAACATTCAAAACTTTAACCATGACATCTGTTACTCTGTGTTAATAAGAGTCTATAGAAGAATCCAAGAACTTAAACACTTACTAAAATCAACTACTATCATATCACTATCAATGGAGAAATGAAGAAAAACTGTAATAGGGGACATACAATTCACAAGATCTTCAAAAGGAAAAATGACCTTTTTTTTTTTTAATTATGGGAAACTGACTAGGCAGCATTTCTTACAAGAAGCTTCACAACTATAACAAAGAGATTTTTGGTAACCACAGCAGTATTTAAAAAACAAAAATTTAGGCTGGGCATAGTGGCTCATGCCTATAATCCCAGGACTTTGGGAGGCCCAGGCAGGTGGATCACCTGAGGTCAGGAGTTCAAGACCAGTCTGGCCAACATGGTGAAACCCCATATCTACTAAAAATACAAAAATTAGCCGGGCGTGGTGGCAGGCACCTGAAATCACAGCCACTAAGGAGGCTGAGAGGCTGGAGAATCACTTGAACCCGGGAGGCGGAGGTTACTGTAAGCTGAGATAGCGCTATTGTACTTCAGCCTGGGCAACAGAGTAAGACTCCACCTCAAAAATTATAGTGTCCAGGGTGCACTTTAAATGCATTTGTCAACTGATATGGAAAAACTCAGCATTTTAAGACAGAAGCTTCTGTCCACGTATTAATTAGTTACCTATCTCAACAACTTAATATCTGCATGGTTTCTTACCATTTATGAAGAACTTTTACATGTATTATCTCATTTGGTCTTACTGAGAAAATAGTATTATGTCTACAAAATAGACAAAATTCAAAGCAGATTTATCAAACTTTCTAGCATCCTCAAGTTGTTAAAACTTTGACACAAAACTTTACAAGCAACCACGTGGCATGATATTTCCAGTGATAATCAATTCACCTAACACTAACAGAGTTTCAGAGGACCATGTGCTGTAAATGCTATGAAACTATATTAATCTTTATGCAGTTATTGTTATATCAGCAATGACCTGCCACTGATAGAACTTTACTTACAGTTCAAGAATCTCAGTCTTTGCAGGCTAACAAGTATATCTACCATATGTATTTATGATGCTGAGTGAGAAAAAATTGATCTACATTAGAATCATTGTCTGTAAATCTGATGGGGGAATAAAACCAGAAGAAGTCTAAAATTTTTTCCACACACTATCCCCTTTTCCAAAATCTCAACTACTCTATGTACTATTTGTATTAATATTATTAATACTATAGGGATGATAAGGCTTAAAGCCCTAAATCACAGCAACTACTTTTGTTTATAAAACCTACAAATAATTTTTTAAAAAATACATGCTCAACATCCCACTCATCAACAGAAGACAAACTCCCCTTCCAAATAAAATAATTCTAAACAGTGCTCTGTACCTAGGCCCAGAATCCTTAAGCTATCCACAGTCACACACCTACTTTGTATAGTCAAAGACTTCAGTTTCACATAGCAAACATAATTTATGATGGAAAGTTTTAAATGGACTTACTCAAAATCTTTCTGGAACTTTAAGGTGTTAATCCTGTTGCTTAGCTGAAGCTAAGTCAAGCTGTAATAAGTAGCAAGACCCTCAAAATTCAAAAATATCCTTTATCTTGCTGTAGCACCTCCTGCTGGATAGCATTTAGAGATCTTCATGTAAGCAGAAGAAGAATATTTCAGAGGCAGGTCCTTCCAGATGACTGAATAGGAAAAAGGATGGACCCTTCAAGGCTAAAAGAAATAGGCCCCATCCATCACTTACACCTTCTAAAAATACAATTAGCCCAGGTAGGTGTCTTTTTCATCTATTTACTACTCCAGTTCCATAACAACTTGCCTGAGTTCAAAATATAACATGCTTACATCAAGCCTGCAAAATTATCTAAAAACTAAGTTAAAAAGCCTTCAATAGCACCCAAGCAAAAAACTTTATTATGGGCAGTCAAGCAATGCCAGTCAAACTGCAAATACTATTGTTATCAAAAGCAAAAGTCTGATGTTAAAAAACAAAACAAAAGCACCTGGAAGATTTTTAACATGTTAGCCAGATGTTTGTGCTTTGAGAACTCTGTGCACTATTACTATGCTCTTCACTTAAGGATAGTTGTACATCTACAAACGTTTTAAGTACAGAAATATTTTAAATAAACATTAGTATAACTGCACACAAAATTTCCTCTTTGCCATCAAAAGATAGGTCCCCGGATTTGAAAATGTATTTTTCAGACATTTTTAATGATCTTCTAAAATAAACTAGCTTAAGCCCACAACACAGATTCCATAAACAAGTGAAGACAGAAGAAGAGAATAAGAAGGAACTTACCAAAATTAAAATGAATAATAGTATTTCCAGTAAAAATGTAGTAACAGTTTCCAACAATGCTGTAAACCAAGTAAATTGTGAAACTTAAAGAAGGAAGGAGGGGGCCAGACTTCAAAGGCCAAAAGCAAAGCTGACCTATTTATTTCTATTGCCCAAATTAAAGTGAACACCCGATGTAAACAAATATCATAAATACTGAAAAGTATGCTAACATGGTTTAGCCCCAATTTCAGTACCCTTATCAGGCCCTCAATAAAGCTACAGATGTTGATGAGAATCCTCTCAAAAAGGAGATAATTCCAACCCCTCGCCTTAAAGAATCCCTATCAAGTGAACCTGTGAAAAGGCTTCCTTCCCAGAGTGCATAACTGCTTTAAAACAAACAAACAAACTTTCATCTGCCCAAATTAATCTGATTCTAATATTCAACTACCCATTATTTATATATAAATGTTCTTCCCTCTCTAACTTCTCCAGCTCAAGCATCTATATTCCTGACACCGACTATTAGCAAAAATGCACAACTCGGTCCCCAGCTATGGGGCAAATCTTTGAAATCCGAAACACACCCACAAAGTTCACTGTCAAGGCCAGGTAACGAGGCCCACACAAGTCCGGACCTTCACTCAGATTTGAAATTCTAGAAATCCATACTCCCAGAGACATCATTTTAAAAACAACACAATGTGGACGTGCAGAGTGAGATCCTCTACTTCCAGACCTAAACAAAGAATATTTCAACATATGACCGGAATATGATGACACCAGATTCACCAATGAAAACAAAACCTGCCGACCATTAGCAGTCGTACCCTCATCACAACAACTCAACTACTTAGAAATCACTCTCGGCACATCTGCACCCCACAACCGGCCTGTGGCCTTCTCCGGGGGTGCAAGCCACAGACAAAGTTGAAAGGAGACGTTCTCCCCCGGTGCCCAATCTCGATACCAACCCCTCCCCTAACAGGGCCACCTTGCTGCTACCCACCATTGCGAACGTGGTCAGGGGGAGAAAAAAAAAAAAAAGAAATCCTAACAGCACCGCTCAGCAGAATAAAGAGACCAAAGAGAGGATGACGAGAAGTGTTGGGAACTGCGTGCACGACGGGGCTGGACCAAACGGAAAGAGTCCCACTCCGCGCGCCCCTCCCCCCGGCGGGGGCGCGGGCGGGGGAGGGGCGGCCGCGGCCCCTCTCGGAGCGGCCTGTCCGCCCCGGCCCGCTTGGGGTCCCGGGGGCGCCCCGCGGCCGCCGGCGGCGGGGGCGAATGCGGGAGGGCCGGCCCCAGGGTGAGGGGTGCAGGCAGACTCTCCGGAATAACAAGTTGCAGAAGAAGAAGAATAAGCGGAATTTCCCCAACGCTGCTCCGGCCACCCAAGACAAATGCACCAACACACTCACACTCACACACACATACACACACACACACACACACTCGGGCCCGGCAGCGTCAGCAGCCGCAGCTTTTTTTTTTTTTTTTAAACCAGATCCCTCAGTCACCAAACAAGATGGTTTTCCAAAAAAAAAAAAATTTTTTTAATTAAATAACCATAATAAAAACTTCCCCCCGACAGCATCCCAGGGTGGGGTGGGGGGGGTGGAGGGGCCCCAGCTACCCTCCCCGGGCCAAGGGACAGCCGAGGGGGGCGGGCGAGGCTCCGCGCCCCCCGCCCCCGCCCGCGGCCCCCGGCCGGCCCCCCTCCGGGACAATGTGACGCCCCCTCCCTGCCGCCCCCGGCACGCCGCCTCTGTCACCCGCTCCGGCCCTGCACTCTGCGCCCAGGATCCCGAGGCTGCTCCTAAACTTACTTCCAATTTATCCTGGGGAGGGGTGGAGGGCAGAGGGGAGGAGGGGGGGAGCCAAGGTTTTCCCATTGTCTTTTTTTCGGGGGGGGAGGTATGGGAAGGGCACGCAGGGGGGCGCCCCGAAGGGGAAGTTATTGCTCAAATCTCAAGTTGACTGAGGGGTCCTGACGAGAACACCCCCCTTTCCCTCCTCCCTCCCACACACCCCTCCCCTCCCCCTACCTCCCCCCACAACAAACTCCAAGCAGGCAGCCCCTGATCCTCCCAGAGACAAACACCAGCGACAAGACAGAGGGAGAGAGGAGAGAGGCAGAGGGGGAAGGGGGAGGGAGGGGAAATAGAGCTACTCCAGAAAAAAAGAGAGAGAGTGAGGAGAAGAGAGAATGGAAAAGCTGGGATACTGCACCCTCCTGCTGCTGGCTGGCTGTCCCCCCTGGCAGCTGGAGGCAGGAACTCTGAGCAGGAGAAGCAGGAGGAGGAGGAGGAGGGAACTCTTCTTCATGGGGAGGGAGGGAAGAAGCTGGAGCTGCTGCTGCTGCTTCTGCTGCTGCTCTGGGCCTCTCGCACTTTTTAGATATTAGTGTGTTAAGATGGTAGGTTGTTCCCTTCTCCCTCCTCCTCCTCCTCCTCTCCTCTCTCTCTCTCCCTCTCTCTCTCTCTCACTCTCTCTCTCTCTCTGGGCTGTTTCTTTCCTCCTCTTCCCCAGGCAAGGGGGGGTGGGGAGGAGGGAGTTGGGGGGAGGAACTGGATCCTCCTCCTCCTCCAGGAGGGACACACACAGGCCCCGGGCCGGAATCGGGAGGGGGGAATCAGAGCAGCAGGAGAGAAACTGTGGGAGACAAACAAGCCCAACTCTTCATCCTCCTCCTCCTCAGCAGCAGCAGCGAGCACCACCAGCCCATTCACCACCCGGCCCCGGGCCGCAGCACCTCCGCCGCCTCAGCCCGGGGATCCCTCCGCCCAGGCCCAGACACACTCGCCCGCGCGGGAGCCCGCCGCGCGGCCTCGCCGGCCCGCCGCCGCCGCCGCCGTGCGCGCCCCCGCCGCTCCCGAGAGCCGGGCGAGAGGGACTGGGGCTGGAAAAGCGGGGACGAGGGCGAGGGGAGAGGAGGCGCCGGGGGAGAGCGGGCCGCGGCGGACAGGGAGGGGGCCGCCGGGAGGAGTGGTACCGCGGCCGGCCCGGGCCCCCGCGCCTCGGCCCGCGGCTACCGGGACGTGCGGGTCCCCCCACCGGGGGCGGCGGGGGGGACGGCGGGGGCCCGCGGCGGCGCTCGGGCGGGCGGACTACTTGACGTGTCGGTGCGGCGAATTTATTTCACTTTGCCTAAGGAACGGGGTGTGCTGCGGCGCCCATTGCCTAGGGAAAAAACCCGGATGTAAAGTGAGTGAAACTAAACTAGAGTGAAGTAGGGCAGCGGCAGCCAAACTCCAGTGCAGCGGCGGCGACGGCAGTGATGGGGCCGAGCACCTAGCGGCGGCGAAGGCGGCCAAACTCCGGGGCCGCCGCAATCCCGGGCCCGTGCAGCGCCGCAGCTCGGCTCCTGTGCAGCCGCAGCCGAGGCGAGGCCGGAGCCCGCGGCGGCCCCCCCAACTCCGCGGCCCGAGCCCAACTCACCCCTCCCGCCCGCGGGAGCTGCAAAGGGGCTCCGGAGCGGCCCCAACTCCCTCCAGTGCAACAGCAGTTTGAAGCGGGGGGGAAAGCCGCGAGGGGCAGGAGCGAGGAGAAGCGTTGAGGAAGCACTGCAATGGGAGAGCGTGGTCCAGGCAACAGGAGAGATGCAACCTCAAGTCGAATGCAACATGCAATCCTCGGCAGCCGCTCGCCCGCTCCCTCCCCTCGCCACCCCGCCCCCTTTCCAAATAACTACCCTTGAACCACTTTATTAGCAGTACTTAGTCCCGCACTCGCTCCCGGGAGGGGCGGGGGACCGGGGCCTTGGCTCACCTTTATTTATTGCTGCTTTCTCCCCCCTCTCCATGTTTTTTATTCCTAAGTTCTTTTGTTCTAAGGGGGATGATGGCATTTACTTTTCTGCTTTGTGTAGCAGGGCAATCACTGGGAATCGGCCACGTATAATCCGGCGGTTTGTCATATTTTATTAGTGAAAGTATTTTATGCCTGTTCTACCTCCAAGGACTGTAACATGGAGAACTGCAGGGAGGAGAAAAACATCAGAAGAATTCTTGTTTTTGAGAGGTTTCTTGGCGGGGCGGAGGGAGGGCTTTTTTTTTTTTTTTTTTTTTTTTTTGGAGGGGGTTTTTTTTTTTTTTTTTTTTTTTTTTTTTTTTTTTGGAGGGGGTTTATTTAGGTTTTCCAATCGATAGTTTGCAACTTAAAGGTTAACGTTTTTGCATCGGTGTATTACCGGATTCTAAAATAACCCCCAACCACAGTAAATTTTTTAAAAGTCAAAAATCCTAGATTAAAAAATCCCTACTGGACAGTGATATTATCTGTTCTGTGCAGCATGCTGGACTTAACATAGTGTTGGCCTTCGAATGTTAAATAACAGTAAACCCCAACCTCAACTGAATACAAATTGGGGGGTGGGGGTGGGTTTTTTTTTTTTAAGGCTCAGCACTTTTGTAGCATCTGCCACTACGCATTTTCCAGGCATTGATTAGCCATGCAACTCCCATAGGCATGAAGTCCAGTTTTTGCAGATAAAGAGCAACAGTGGTGAGATGATTTGCCCAAAGTCAAAGTGAGTCATTCGCCGAACCAGAAATAGCCTTGGACTTTGTTACTAGTCACATCTTTTCCATTAAATAGTATTTCCTCCAAGAAGTAGTATTTAAAAATAGACGTTCTTTACCTTGTTATGTATTTTCACCAGAGGTGCTTTGAGATCATTGGATATAAAGGTATTTTCTTCTGTGGCCTGCAAAATTAAGTTTAGTTTCTCAAGAAAAAGCAATTTTTAAAAATTCTAATTGCTTAAAAAATAAAGTATAAACTTTATGGTACTTGTGTAGGCCATTTAGTAGTCTGAGCTTTATGTTAGAAAAAAATTCACAGCAGAGAAAGTGTAAGAGTTTGAGAGTGAAAATGAAAATTCCTATAAGTGATTCAAGAAGCCTGGATGAACTCATAATGTTGTGAAACTAAACCCATAACTCGGTCAAGATGAATAATGGGAGGACAGGTTGGGTAGTAAGACCCAGCTTTACCATCTAGAGCTAACTCTAGGGTATTTAAAATGAGGGAGGGAGGGGGTCTTTCAAGCTGGACCCGCTAGCCAGTCACTGGAACTAGAACCTAATGGTGTCATTTCAAATCATCCTAAGCTGTCAACGTTTTTTTATAGGAAGACTGCTTTCATGTTCTTTCTGGAAAAAGAAGGTAATTTTTTTTCTGGAATTTAGTAGAAAAAAAATCCAGAACCTCCAGTTGTAACATGAACTGGGGTCAGCAAACTTTTTCTGTAAAAGCCCAGAGAGTAAATATCGTAGATTTTGCATACTATACAGTCCCTGACACAACTTCTCCACTCTATGCTGTTATAACACAAAAGCGTCTATAAGATGACACGTAAATGAATGAGTCTGGTTATGTTCTAATAAAATTATTTTTAGGCCTTGACATTTGGATTAAATGTACTTTTCACATGTCATGAAATATTACTCTTGATTTTTTTCAATCATTTGAAAAAACAAAAACACCACATTCCCAGTTTGTGAACTTCAGCAAACCAGGCAGTGAGCTGGATTGGGTCCTCTGGCTGTCATTTGCCAATCCCTGCTATAAAAAAGACTTAAAGTGGACTAGCCACTGAATTCGTACCAAAGGGTGTTTGGTTATTAAGATGTGTGTATAGCAACCAAAAATCAATATGCAAAGTCATTGTCTAGATATTTTTTTCTTTTTTCTTAAAAATTTTTTTTTTTTTAAGACAGGGTTTCACCATGTTGGTCAGGCTGGTCTTGAACTCCTGACCTCAGGTGATCCGCCCGCCTTGGCCTCCAAAGTGCTTGGATTACAGGCGTGAGCCACCAAGCCTGGCCTGTCTAGATATTTAATCAAAACATTTTTAACTGAATATGGGAATGTCTAACACTCCTATAACTACCAAACTTAATGGAAAAATACTCTGGCAGTATTGCTCCTTCAACTAAGGCACTTGGGGCAGTCTGCTTAACCTCTGACAGCCTCAGTTTTCCTATCTTGTAAATTGCAGCTTAGAATACCTACTTCTGGCCCCAGGCAAGGTGGTGCATGCCTGTAATCCCAGCACTTTGGGAAACCGAGGCTGGCAGGTCCCTTGAGCTCAAGTGTTCAAGACCAGCATGGTCAACATGGTGAAATCCCATCTCTACAAAATATGCACAAATTAGCCAGGCATGGTAGCACATGCCTGTAGTCCTTGCTACTCTGGAGACTAACATGGGAGGATCACTTGAGCCCAGGAGGTTGAGGCTGCAGTAAACTGAGATTGCCCCGCTGCACTCTAGCCTGTGTGACAGAGTGAGACCCTGTCTCAAAAACAACAAAAACCCTACTTTGTAGGGCTCTTGAAAAGACTGAATTAAAATAATTCATGTAAAGTGCTTAGCACAGTCCTGGCACATAAAACTGTATGATTCATTTTCTTAGTTAACATAAGAAGGTGAACAGGTGGCATCCGGGTATTTTGATGGCACAGATGTGCATGTGGGGTTCAGGGACTCTCCGGTTGATTGAAGATTGTGAGGTTGGCATCATAAGTTTTGATGGGTCTTTCTCAAGCTCTCAGAATCTCTGTGTGCCTGACACCGGCACTCAGTGGGCACACACTAGCTGTGTGGGTTTAGACAAAATACCTAGGCTTTCTGAACCCTGGTGTTCCTTATACGTAAAGACAATACCTTGTGAGATTGTTGTAAGGGATAAATGGCATAAGGGTTAAAGGAAAAAAAAAAAATTAACAATTAGTATGTTAGCAGAAATTCCAGAAATAAGCTAGAAATTGAAAGTTCACTATCAAAAGCTGCTTTGACATAAACCATTCAGCTTTTAGACATGAATGACAATCATAACAGGTGCACAATAACTTAAATTTGCTCTGTTGCCACCTAGTTACCCCTCCAAACCATTTAATTGCCATCAAAACCCTGCTGAGCAGGCCAAACACAGTGGCTCAGGCCTATAATCCTAGCACTTTGGGAGACTAAGGCAGGAAGATCACCTGAGGCTGGGAGTTCAAGACCAGTCTGGGCAACATAGCAAGACCCCATCCAAGCTACGAGTGGGAAGCATCACTTGAGCCGAAATGTTCAAGGCTACTGCAGTGAGCCACAACTGAACCACTGCACTCCAGCCTGGACAACAGAACAAGACCCTGTCTCAAAGTAAAAAAACAAAACAAAAAAAAACTGTTGAACAAAGGTTAAA